CCAAATACTTGTTGCTGGAAACCACAGGGAGGGAAAGTGCTCTTGTGCTTGAATCCTGCTTATGGGTTTCCCATTGGCATCTAGTTGGCCTCTGTGAGAACAGGATGCTGGACTAGATGGGTCATTGGTCTGATCCAATAAGCTCTTCCTTATGTTCTTAGCTGTTTACATTGGACAAGCTAGTAATCATAGAATCAAAGAAGTGTAGAGTTGAAAGGGACCCTGAGGATCATTGAGTCCAACCCCCTGCAATGCAGGAACATGCAGCTGTCCTGCATGGGGATCGAACCTGCAAGCTTGGCATTATCAGCAGCATGCTCTAAGCTACTGAGCTATCCAGCTGATTTAATTTGCTTTATATGGCACAGGTATTGCCATAGATCCATTTGCTGTGCTTCCATGACCAGTGATTTAGCAAGGTGTGTGTGTATGTGCGCGCGCACGTGCATGTGTGTGCGTGCACACACACACACAGATGCCTGCGCGCGCACACGCAGAGAGAGAGAGAGAGAGAGATCCTTCCTATTTAAGCAAGAACAATACAGGTATGAGACAACATTATGCTCTCCGTGCTTCTGCAACCATGAAGAAATCTCCAAAGAGATTTCAAATGTTGTGTAGGTGTGAGACACAGTGAGGTTTATATGAAGCATCTAGGGAACTGGAGGAGGGGTAAGAGTTACTGATACTTGTGCATCTGAGATCCCTATGGCATTTTTTTGCACTGATTTTGCACTGCCATCAGCACCCAATACTCTTGGACCACTTCTCCTGCCCAAACCTCCTGGTAGGGACTGATGCCCCTGTGTTGGCACTCCTGGTAAGCTGTTTCCATTGCCACAGGCTTATCTGGCAGCAGCACTTTAATCTAGGAAGCCACCCAACTCCTCAAATTTCCTACAGTGCCATGGAGCACTCTGCTTCGCTTGGGGGGCAATGCGGGAAATGTAAATGGTGGGCAGCTTCCCAGATCCAGCTGCTCCTGCCAAGGAAGCTGGTGTCTGTGGTGGGGACCAAACAATGGTTGGGCCCAGTGATGATGAGCCACCTTTCCAGCCAGCTCCCCACCCCTTTCAAGAACCATGGCAGCACTCCCTCTCAGCTATGAAACTGAATAGCCTCATGCTCCTTGCTGAATCTCAGCCTAACTTCTCTCACAGTCAGGCTAAAATGAGAAAACTCTTGCAAACCCGTCTTAGCTCATTGGAGGAAGCATGGGATAAGCATGACAAATCAAATAGCTTCACAACAGGCAGAAATTCAGCAGGTGAAGATTTCCCCCACCACTGCTTCTGCCTGGAAAGTTCACCTGCTGAATGTACACTTGTTATGTTGCTGTAGAGCATACAGGAACCCTATCAATAGAAAAATTGACTCTGGGGCAAATGCAACCTGAGATTGAGGCATATGTTAACTGTCTATCTGACTGGATGAAGTGGGTTCATTTCACCAAATCAGGATGATGCAGACTGCCTTGTCTTATGTTTTAATTATATACCCTGAGATCTCTCCAGAATTGCAGCCTAACATTTGAGCTGATGATTAACTCTTGGCTTCATCCCATCATGCTTGCCTAGAGGTGATAGCTCTCTTACTTTTGTAGGAATTCTCTCTCTGAAGAAAGGGGGGAGGGGGTTTAATCCCAAAGCAGTTATTATGTGCAACTACAATCCACTCCTTGTATTAAAGGCAGGCATTCAGTTTTGATTCAGTTGCAAACTCTTTGGCTGGCCCTGCTCCTGGTCTTTTACCTGCAGCCTGACATTTAGCAGATGGAGTTTCCCCCATCACTTCATCACTTTTCCCAGGAAGAGCTTCTTCTACTCCTGCCACTGCTAAATGTCTGCCTGTCCGGGTTCTGTCGAAAGCAGCAGAGTACCATCCATAAGAAGCAAAGAGGCTAGTGATGCAAGTGAGAGCTTAAACTAAAGGGATGTATGCTTTCTTCTTTTAAGGTGCATGTGTGTGAATAAACTTTAAAATTCAGAAAGATGACTATGTGGATAAAACTAGGGTTCTTAATAAGCTGCATTACAGCAGAGCCAAGCACCTTTTTAGGTCTGTGGGCACATTTGGATTTTTGAGCAAGTGCTATGGGTGACAGTCCCTCTGGTCACATCTATCATCCCTCCTCCAGATCACCCACACAGAGAGAAAGAGAGGCAGGAAGCGGGAAAGCACATAGACACAGGCACACACACACTTTGCTTTTCGAAGGGATCAAATCCAGTAGAATGAAACTGAGCCTTGAAAAACATGTGACTGTACATCTGTGGAATGTCTCCCCTCTGAAATGTGAATCACCCAAACTTTATGTTCATTAAATTGGGCCCTTTTATGGTCAGGTTTGTAGAGGTTTGTGGGTTAAGTCGTTTTCAAATTATGCTGCTGCTAATTGAGTTCCTGTGAATAATATTATGTAGTATGTTGTATATTGCTTTATTTTGTTGTTAACTACCCTGTGTATTTTTGGAGAAGGATGATATAGAAATCTCTTAATAATAAATAAACTTCCTCCAGCTTTTCATTCTGACTAAGGTGTGTGTGTGAGAGAGAGAGATGGAAGGAGGGAGGGAGCTCAGAAGGCATCTGCGGAGATCTCAAGGGCACCATTGTGCCTACAAGCACTCTGTTGGCAACCCCTGCATTATGGAAACACTGTGATAAATCGGAACTGGCAAACTTCTCTTCTTTCTCTGTGTGAAGAGCTGGTGAACTTGCAAGCAATTTGAGCTAACGAACAGAGAAGACTGCGGTAAGGGAATGTGAGTGTCATCTGAGCCTCTTCCACACTTTTGTACTGCATGTCAAGCTGCACCTGCCCACATTCCTGCACAACCATAACAGGGTAAAAGGCTCCCTGTCCTTCTCTGGTCCCCTCGTCCTGTCAGATCAGGGGGGAAATGGCACAGTCTTTCCTGACTGCTGTCATGTTGTAATCATGTCTGCATCAAGAAAAACTTCTTACAGAGCAGCAAAATGTCCAGATGGACCAACTCCTTGACTGGAATGTGTATAGAACTTTGGTCTTTTGTAGGACTCACACATCTTTCATTCTCTTATTCAAGAAACAGCAGGCCACACACTTTCTTCAAATGTCTTTCATGAACAGTAGAAAAATGAACACTATAAGGTTCATACACTACTATATCTCCATCTGGAGGATTGACTCGACCACCATGGAGATGAGACTCTTATCTCACGGGTGAGGCAGCATTACTGGGAATGTTAAGTTTTCTCTTTGAGTTGGAAACTACTCTCCTGGGCATACACAAGATTCTGTGTTGGGTCTCCCAATCTATTCATTTATTTCATGTATACCGCACCCTTTCTTTAAAGTGCTCAGAGCAGCGTAACTGGTTCTCCCTCTCTCCCATTTCATCCTCACAACAACTGTGTGAGGTAGGCTAGGCTTTGATATGGAGCCTGGCCCAAGTGGAGCTTCATGGCTTGAACCCTGGACTCTGAGGCCTTACTCTTAACACCCTAAGCACTATACCTCACTGTCTCTCAGTTTTGCAAGAGCAGCACCAAAAGCAGAGGCAGTCTCTACCAGGAAGCAAAGCAGAGCGACTGATTCAAATGGCATATTTGGGTGCCACTAAAGTTTGGCAGAGTGAGCGACAGACAGATCTTTCTGACCCAGAGGGCACAATCTACCAAGGAGAGTTCTTCCACAGTCCTCCTTAGATCCAGTAGGGTTTATTGTGGATAATTTCTCTCTCTCTCTCTCTCTCTCTCTCTCTCTCTCTTTCTCTCTCTCTCTCTCTCTGTGTGTGTGTTGGTGTTGTTGGTGTGTTCCATTAGTTAATGGAAATAGGAGCGACATTAAGATTTTCTGCCTCAGACAGCACTTAGACTCGCCATGATCAAAATAAAACAAACCCTGCAAGTTCTCTGCTCTCTAAAATATAGACCTATTTGGTAGATGTTATTAATATTGAATAAAACAGAGTCGGGAACCTTTTTCAGACGGTGGACCATAATTCCCTTCTGGGCGACTTTCAGGGACCACATGCCAGTGGAAGGCAGGACTGGATGCAAAAGTGGGCAGTGAATGCACCTTTGTCCAGTAGGCTAGTTTCTACAGACCACCCACCCACCTACTCTATCGGATAGAGTCTATCCTACATCCAGGCAAGCAAGAAGCCTTTTCAAAGTTCATGGACTTCTGACGAAGAACGAATCAATGGTCCAATTGGATTTTTAAAACGTCCTAACTTATCCCATAACCGCTTCTCCTGTTATGGCCGGGGCATGTTTCCTCAAGTCCCTGTGAGTTCCGCAGGGCTTCCTTTCCAAGGAGTGGGGTGTGGGGGATGGCAGCCTCGTTCTTCTCGCGTCTGGCTTGGAAGAAGAGACCAGAAGACGCTCGGCTGGAAGTTCTGGTCAAAGGAAGCCTTCCTTTCGGGATGGAATGGCGCTGCCTGTGCGCTGGGTCCCCTTCCCCGCTCCCCTCCCGCCTGGCCGGATCAGGTTCCCGCCGCCCTGCCCCTCCGCGGCGCTCATAATGAATGCTTTCATTCATAAACAAGGAAACTGACACGGGGCGTTTCTATCAGGAAGCTAATGGAGCCGCTTAATGACTAATTGATCAGATCCCCCAGCGCGACTCTAGCCCCGGCTGGCCCAGAGGAGCAGAGGCAATTACGAGGGGAGGTGACTTGGGAGAGGCTGATCCGGGCAGCGGGGGGCGAGGTGGGGGAAGGGTGGGGGAGCCCTCCTCCCCCTTGGTGTATGAGACGCGATCACTCAGTGGATTCGCAAGGGAGGAGGCAAGCAGGCCCGCAGGACTCGGAGAGTCACACACAGAGGAAGGAGCATAGGAGCCCTTCCTTCTGCTGAGTCAGGCCCCTGGTCCGTTGGTAGAGCATCTCTCTTGGATGCAAAAGGTCCCAAATTCCTTCTCGGCCTCTCCAGGTAGCGGGGCTGGACTGGGAGACAGCCCTGCCTGGATTCCTGCAGAGCAGCTGCCCGTCAGTGGAGACAGACCATGTACTGTCTGACTCGGTATATGGTTCTCTCGGTCGGTAGAACATGAGACTCTTAATTTCAGTGCTGTGAGTTCGGACCCCACGTTGGGCCAAAGAGTCCTGCATAGTCCAACTCTACAATTCGATTATTCAATGGAAAAGCGAGAGGGATAAGGCGTGATGGGAGGAATACTATCTGCACACTCACATCGGCCACCATATTATGAGAGAGAGAGAGAGAGAGAGAGAGAGATCATTCTACTGTTTCCTTCAACTTTATAAAGCAACTGAGGGGAACGAGAAATATCGGCAGGAACGAACGTATCATAGTTTTTTGTAGCTCATCACAAGAAATTGATAGAAGAAGAAGAAGAAGAAGAAGAAGAAGAAGAAGAAGAAGAAGAAGAAGAAGAAGAAGAGGTTCTGAATTCTTTCTCTTCATACACAGAAACCAGCTGCTAGATAGATTCTGGCCCTCTGAGCTGCAACCCTTTTGCATCCTTATGAGCGGGGCTTACTTCTAAGTAGGCACGTACGAGACTTAGATGTTGGACACGTAAACAAACAAACAAAAAGTGCACAGAAGCTGGAAGACGCTGAGACTGATTTCATCACCGCATGGGAAATTGTGGGTGGAAAGGGAAGACAAGCCTTCACTCTGCACGGTGGGACTTGGGGTAAAAAAAGAGACTGAAGGACAAGCTCCCGCTTGTGCTTACATCGGAATGAAAATGCATGGGAACCTATAGCAGAAGAATGGACAGGGGCCCCTCAAGACAACTAATCGAAATCCAGGCATAAGACATTTATTGTCCAATTATAAGTCCTTTAACATTGGCAGTTGGCACTATTCTGCACGTGTTAAAAATTAAGAAGGGTAACAGACACCTCTCCCTCTCTCTTTCTCTCTCTCTGTGTGTGTCTTTCTCTGAGTCTCTCTCTCTTTCCCACAATCGCTTTTGTTCTGCTTTATCTAATAAGTTCTGGACTTGCTTCCCGAAACATCCGCCCGTTGGGCAATATATACCTAACTCACCAAACTGCAAGCTATATCCGGCAACAGTCAATGAGAAACCGTCGCCCGCGTCATTCCTCTTTTCTAACCCAGTGTAAGTAGCAGTCTGCTTGCCTGCCTGCCTTTGCAAGACAGGCTAAATGCAGCGCAGCGCGGTTCGTGGCAATCCACACAAGAAACGAAGAAGCTAATAAAATACAACAGCTGTTTATCAATAAAAGATGAGGTTTTTTTAAGGGACGTACATCAAGAAATCCCTTCCAAAAGCACATCCTCTGGATTAAATCTGGGAAACTCAGTGGAGAAGAAAGTTGCGTTCTTGAAGTGGAATGCCCTGAGGTTGGCTTTATAGAAATCGGTTTTTTTTAAAAAAAATTGGACAGTCTGTCTATGCAGGGAGCTGTCCAGGTGCTGAAATTGAGAACATCAACTTTGGAAGGCCAACTGGGTTTCAAAAAAGTTTCAAAAATCTGTTTCTGTTGACATGAGACTTTGGGGAAACTCTTCAGTTCCCGGGATCGTATCCGAAGAAAGAGAGCGAGAACTAGAGAATTTGTTAAGCCTGTCTTAAAATTGAATGCGGTTCTATTTCTTTCCCTGTATCTCTGACTTTTAAAGCAAATCCTCATAGAAACTGGATGTTTACTTAGAAAATCGAAGAAGAAAAGTCTCCCGAGCGGGGGAGCACTAGGTAGCAGCAAAGCTACCTTTGGACTTAAGAGGAAGGCAGACTATAATAAAGAAGGAGGGGGCACAAAAAACCCAAATAACACAGGGGGCTACGTTCAAAATACAGCAATGTAGCAGGCTAAGTAAGCAGGAATGTTAAAATCATTAAATGCCTCTTACCTGTTAGTTTGTTTTTTAAATAAAAACAACCGCCACCAACCCTGAAAAGAGTATTTCTTGAAATCCAAGCGGATAGCAGAGACAGGATGCAGGCAGCATTGCTTTCTGCCCCTTTTATACCACGTTATCCAATTAATATTGCATCAACCTTATTTTAAAATTTCAGAACCCACAATATAATGTAATGACACAAGGGCATTTATTATTAAAGGACATTTGATTGGGGGAAATCATTGGGGCTCGCTGAGAAAACAAAATGAAACCATGGCGTTGAAGGAGAGTTTAATGCTCTTTCTTACGATTTTCTTCATGGGAATAAAAACAACTTTTTAAAAAACCACTCAGTAAGGAGCTTTTCTTGTTATTTTTTCAAAGGAAGCAGAATGTGGTCGGAGTTTTGTTGCTGGATATTCATTGATATGCAAGGGCGAGACATTCCGAAGATCGCTGCGGTTCGAGCATTAATTTTTAATCCTTTAAGGTGCTTCGGGGATTTATAAACAAAAGCCCTACTTTCCTTTTAAGCAGAATTCCAAATCAACCTTTGATACAGTTGTTTTGAGCGATTTCTTTCCTTCTCAATGGAACTTCAGACAAAGAAGTTCCGTCCTTATCCTGCTGAGAAGGGCTTCGGCTAAACTTTATTACAGAAACAATCAGTCCGGTATTTTGTTTTATTTTTTAATGAACAGCGATAAAATTTGAATTTTTTTTTATGAACTGCGAAATTATTTTCACCATTAGTGGGCCCTGTAGGCTTTACCACAAGAAAGTTTTAAGATTTTGGCAAGGGATGTTGTTATATTAGAGTACTTCTCTCTCTCTCTCTCTCTCTCTCTTTCCAAAACATTGACCATCCAATAAAAAAGTTTGCACGTGGGAACAGCGGTAAGAACTGCATCAAAACAAAAATACGTCAGATGTAGGGATGAGAATTAAGTGTTATCATTAACAGTCAAAGTATGATATAATGTGAAGAAAGAACTGGTTTTCTAGGAAGAAGATGCGGGCCGAAATTAGGTATAACGTAATACAGTACATACAATAACCTTAAGGAACGGCTTGACCCCTATCGCGGCAACCCTGTAACGCTTTTCCGATGAATTAGCCCCTCTGAACTCGGAGTACATCGTATAGGAAAATATTTGGAAAATCTAGTTCAGCAATACTTATATTGGGGTCAACCACAATGTCACAAAAGCGTGGCAAGCTTTCACCTTCTCCAGAACTCTTCGTCAGGCAAGATGTGACACTCTCTTTTCTGGCACAAATATCACTCGCTTCACTGAAACATTTTAGCGCGCCTCAAAATGTTTCTCCCTGTCCCCCACACTTCTCCATCTAAACAGAAAACAAGGTCTACCACAAGATCAATCCACAAAACGGTCGTGGGGGCGGGGGAGGGAGGAAAAAAACTTCCGTTCAGGTTGAAAAATAAAGCTTCTTTTATTTGAGAAATTTCAGAATGTATTTCCAGGGAGGCGGGGGCAGAAAGTTAGTGACAAAGAGAAAGGTGTAGAGATGACAGGAGTGGGCAAAATGCCCCAATTACAGGGAGGAAATATAAATTTTCCAGGGAGAGGGGCGGATACAAATACAGACAAGACATTTTGCAAAAAGAACTCTTTACTTAGTGCAAAAACATGTTTAGATCAAAGCCCGGACGAGAACTGACAGCTATATTTTTAAACCTCCTGCGGGACTGTTTTTAGTTCAAAATGCGTTCCGCAGTGGGCCAAAAGTAAATTCTTTTCGGAGATGCAATGAAAACTCTCACATCTGTTGTTGTTTTTCTTTTAAAGTCACTCAGACTCAACAGACTCAAGTGAAAGAGCTCGGATTTCAAACCCGCTAGACCCACTGAACTCCAGTTCCAATGAGCATTTATGCAGTTAGTGTTGCAGATCGTCCTGTGCGGGTGAAAGTTTTCCTTACTAGAAGGGGAGTTTTACTTATCGACCGGGATGAGGTGCCTTTTGGCGGGCGGGGGGTGGGGATGGGCACACGCGTTACGCCATGTGGATGCAGTGGCTCACCTCAGGCAAAAATCTATTACTTGTTGCTGGCTCAGTATGATCTTTCAACACGTGTTTGGAAATAAGACCCATGGAAATAAAAAAGTAAACGCATCCACGAGTCGCTGATGGGGGGTGGGGAATGCAAGCTCCCCCACTCCCCAACAAAGATTTCCATTCGGCATGGATTTATTTCATATAACCCCCTCTTCCTTCCTCTCTCCTCACCCAGGAAACACCGAACTGTACTGTATCTGGAGATAGGCATGCGTGTGTGTGAGAGAGAAACAGAAGACCAAGTCATTTCGCTGTTAAAAATAAAGCTCGGTCCACCTCCGCTTTTTAAGAAGGAATCGGGTTTTGTTTTTTGTTTTTTTGTTTTTGTTTTTTTAAGTTATCCACAGCATGCAATTGACCAAGCATGTAACAGGCGGTGGAGCAACAAAAACTACCCAAACCTGGCTTCAAATTACAAAACGGACTTTCAGAAAATAGCCTCCCCCTGCCCACCGATACAAATCCACAAAATCTGAATAAATCTTCATTCTCTTCTCTCCCGGCCCTCTCTCTCTCCCCCACCTCTCTCTGCATAAATCCAGATGCGGTTTATTCCCCCTCCGAACTGCATCTACCACTGCCGTTCTTATTGCGTCATTTTTTATTTTTATTTTTTAAAAAAGAAATCAGTACCTCTCGAGTTTAAACTCTTCCAACAAAAATGACAAGCTTCATACACTCTCTAGGTCGCCAGAAGACACACACTCGGGTGAGAAGAGAAACCCAGAAGGATGAAACGGGGAAAGATGGCTTGGAGGTTGGGGGAGAAACAAACTTTTTGTGTGTGCGCGCGTTTTATTTTGGATGGATAGGCCGGTTGGTAGTTTTGATTTGCAGCCGCTCCCGCAGGGAGGAACAACAGTAAGCTGTGCCAACTGAATGATGACGATGAAAATAATTAATAAGCAATAAATAATAATAATAATAATAATAATAATAATAATAATATAAATAAATAAATAAATAAACCAGGTGGCCGATGGCCAGAGGAAAAGAAGGAAGCGTTTGTTGGTCGGTTAAGGTCCATGGCTTTGTGGCTCGGTAGGGCTGTCCTTGCAGAGATCCATTTATTCCGCTCCCTGTTGCCGTCGAGCAACTTCTATAGAGATCTATATAGATATAGCTATAGATATATGTATGTGATCTATGGTCTTTGGTGCCCCTGGCGTTCTCAGTGCCCCGCCGAGTACTTCATGCGCTTCTGCTTCTGCCTCTGGTTGCAGAACCAGACGCGCACGACGTTCTTCTTGAGCTCCAGCTTGTCGGCGATGGCGGCGATCTTCTCGGACGACGGGCGCGGCTGCAGCGCGAAGTAAGCTTCCAGCGAGCGCTTCTCCGGCGCCGCGATGGACGTGCGCTTGCGCTTGCGCTCGGCGCCGCGCAGCAGCTCGGCCTGCGCGCTCCTCTCGCGACAGGCGGCCTCGGCCTCGTCGAGCCACGCTTGCAAGACGGGCTTGAGCGCGATCATGTTGTTGTGCGACAGCGTGAGCGACTCGAAGCGGCAGATGGTGCTCTGGCTCAGAGAGCCGACGCCGGGCAGCTTCAGGCTGGCCAGCGCCGCGCCCACATCGGCTTGGGTCACGCCCAGCTTGATGCGCCGCTGCTTGAAGCGCTCGGCGAACGCCTCCAGCTCGCGAGGGTCCGACTCCACGTCGCCCAGGCAAGGCAAACCCGCGTGGGGAGCCGGCACCGGGGCCGTCGAGGGAGGCGGCGGCGGCGGAGCGTGCGCCATGCTCGCCATGGCTTGGTGGAGGTGGCCCATGGCTGCGCCCAGGTGTGGGTGCGCGTGAGGGTGCATGGGGCCGGCCAGCACCGCGCCCGGCTCGGGGCCGCCCAGCAGCGCGGGAGAGAGGTGCTCCAGGAGGTCTCCGCCGTCGAGGCTTTGGTGCTGCGCCCCGGCGTGGTGGTGCGGGTGGGGATGGTGCGGGTGATGGTGAGGATGTTGCGCGTGGTGGTGGTGATGGTGGTGCGAGGGCGCCGAGATGGCCACGGGGGGCGAGGAGCTGGACGCCGCCGACGTGCAGGGGACGCTGCTCATGGTATGGTAGGTGGCGTCGGGCTTGAAAGGATGGCTCTTGCCGTGCGAGACCAGGTCCACCGCCGCCAGAGCTTCCGCGCGGGCCAGCAGACTCTCATCAAAGCTCCCGAATATATTGCCCTGCAGCTGCAAGCAAGAACGCGCAGAGCGCCGTCAGTGGGGAATACCGTCAAGTCGGCATTCAAACACATTTTCTCTCTCTCAAGCACAGAGATTCCTCTTCTCAAAGCTCAGGTCATAAAAATTAATATGAAGGCGCAAGATGCTTTGCTGGAACAGACATGTGGATCAGAGAGAGGGAGGGGGAGAGGGAGAGAGAGAGAGGGAGAGAGATTGTGCAGGAGACATGAAAAAAACATTAAGCCGGGCCTGTCAGAAAATGTGCCTTCGAGCAGTCGCTAGGCTCCGTCTACGTACCTGCGGGGCTGGCAGGCACACGCGGCGCATCGCCTCCGAGCTGGAGTGCAGGCTGGCGAACTTGGCTTCCTGCAGGGCAGGGTGCACGCCGAAAGGCGCCTTGGCGTTCATGCCCAGCATCTTGGCGCACCTGGCCGGGACGCGGCGTCGGGCATCGAGGCCGCCTTGGTTCTCTGGCGGGCGCCTGTCAAAGTGAGCGGTGCTCAAGGACAACGCTTCCCTTGCTGCGCCTCGTCTCTCTCCCCCCCCCCCCACCCCGCGCCTGCTTCCACCTCGGCTTCTTCACTCATCTTACAAGCCTTGCCTGCCATGGGACCAGCACCCTGTGCGCACGCGTGCTGCTGCTGCTGGTGGTGCTGGCCAAGAGGGAAGGGGGGGGGGAGCCCCAGGGATGGGAGCCAAGCAGGAGGAGAGCAGGGGGTCCCCAGCTAAGGCGCTGGGAAGGATCCTGCCAAAAGCCATTTTTTAAAAAGGCCGCCCCATCGGCTCTGACGGGGATTCCTTTCTGGCAACGCGTTAAGAGGCCGGAGAACTGGCCAGGACGCAGAAAGTAGCTAAATGCGCACCGTCCCAAGGCGACAAACCTGGCCAGTTGTGGCGCCCCGTGCGTTTTTTCCAGCTCCAGAGGGGCCCGGGTTTCAAATCATAGAATTGTAGAGTTGGGAGCCTGAGGAACATCTAGTCCAACCCACTGCAATGCCGGAATATGCATCTGTCCCATACAGAGATCCAACCTGCAACTTTGGCGTTATCATCACTTCGCAGTCTAGCCAACTGAGCTAGCATTTTTTATTTTTTTTACAACAGCAGAATACGTAATAATTTGGAGGCTTGGAAAAGAACCGCGTCTTTTCGCTGTGCTGCACATTGCAGATCTCCTGGATATATTATAACATAGCTTTCCTCCCAGGCAACATACATAGGTTACGTCTCTCTTTTATCTTCACAGCTACAACAGCCTAGTGAGGTAAGGTTCGGCAGAGAGACAGACAGACACCAGTCCAGGATCAAATTCTGGCCTAGCGGGGATTTGAAGCCTCCCCAAGACTACTCTGATACTCTAATCACTACACACAGAAGAGAATTTACCTTGGAATTAACGAACACCCCCTTTGTTAAATCACATGCACACCCCGCCCCATTGCCTCTGCATGCATAACTTGGCTCTGCGCCCCAAGTCCTAATAAACAAACACTTTCTCTTGCTCCTCTACCTACCAGTCATGGGCGTATCCAGGATTCTTGAGGGGGGGCAGGACTTTGTTGGGGGACAGAACTCATGTAATTGGTCAGTCAGTTAAGTATTTCTATTGTATTACTTGATCTAGGGGGCAGCTGCCCCCCCATCCCCACACGCTACCAGTGCCCATATTTCTTTCATGAAGTGGGACCTGTTTCCACAAAATTTGACTCAGGTCCAAGGAAATCTCCACTCATCTAGGGCACTGCCGGTTCTTCTCCCCAGCCGCAAAAAAATGCCTATGGGTTCCAGATGTTTTCTGTCTCCTGGGTGTCATAACCTGAATCTATTAAAGGCGTTGGTCTTAAATGCTTTTTTTGTTGTTTCTTTTTTCTTTTTCTTTTTCTTTTTTGACAGCTCCACAAATCTCTGATTCTTTTAATGATGGATAAAGTATGTTTAGTGCTTCTCTTCGGTCGGCTTCTAAAAACCTAGCAGTGCAGAAACTCTTTCCTTGAACGGTAGGTAGACTTTCCTGCGATGACTTGTGTGGCTGCTTAGCCGGGGAAACACCTCGCAGAGAGAAACACCTCCTGAAAATGGGCCGATGGGAGAGACCTGTTACTGGGGGTTGGTTAACAAGGGTTGTTGACGGATCATGGGGAACTTATGCAACTGTGTACACAAGCACTGCGGGACAGGTTAGGTCAACCTAGAAAAGAGCTCGTCTGCACTTCCTTCCCCCTGACCACGCATCATTGTCCCACCACCAATACCCTGGCTTTGAGCCTTTTTCTTCTGGGGGTTCCCATGGGATTCCCAACTGGTGCTTCCCAGCCAGTCCCTGATGCACATAGCCATCATGGCTAGGAGTCATGAGGATTTGTATAATCCTCTCTTAAAACCATCCCAGTGGGTATTCAGCAAACTGCTACCACTTGTGGGAACCTGTTTTGCCCAGGAACTTCTAGGCTCTGCCCCATTAGAGCTTGGGGGCGGGGAGGGAGACTCTTCATCACCTCTTTTTTGTGAAGGGGATCTAGCTCTCCCTCCTGGCTAACTAAAGCTGTCCAAATTTTCTCCCATCTGTCTCACTCCTGGAACTGTGTGGCAAGCGAGCACAGCAGAGTAACGCAACAGGTGCCCCACATTAGAGCCACCACATGTTCAGAGCTGCCACCAGGGCAAAGGGAAGCAGCTCAGAGCCAGCACAGGGCACCACAAGGAAAGGAACCAGAAATTATTTGGGGCAGTGGGGGGGGGGGGGAGTAGAAGAGGAACACAGTCTGATTCCAGGCTGGAGGAATTCATGTGGTTTGTAAGGGGGCACTCTCAGGCGCCCCCTCTCAGTTGTGCACTCCCAGATGTACAGCCAGGATCAGCTACCGGAGGCCACACAGCCAAACCCAACCCTTTACCACACAATTCCTAGGAGTATTAGCTGCCCCTGCAGTTGCCATCCTGGAGGCAGAAGCAGTGCTTGGTGAGGAGCAGTGATGGGGGGGCAACAGGGTGCTGTCATTCCACCTTTGGGATCCATGGGTGCAGCTCTTGCCACTTGCCCTCGGTCTGAGGCAGCGGCGTAGCGTGGGTTGTCAGCACCCAGGGCAAGGCAAGTAATTTTCGCCCCCTAACCCGGGGCAAGGCAAGTAATTTTCGCCCCCTAACCCCTAACCTGCCGCCGCTGCCAGCTTCTTCTTGCTGCTGCCTGGGCTGGGCTGGTGTGGTTCTCTCCCGCGCTCAGCGCTGCGCTGGGCGGCCGCTGCACTGTCCCTCCCCCAGATAGGCCCTCGCTCTCTCTCCGCACCGCACGCCGGGCACCCACCCCCTCCACAGTGGGTGGCGACCCAGCGGCTCGGATCGGATTCGCACAGCCAGCACTGCAGTGAGAGAGAGTGAGTGAGCCAGGTAGGGGCAGAGAGCTGCGAGTGCGAGCGCCCCCCCCATATGTTGCGCCCGGTGCGGCCGGCCCCCCCTGCACCCCCACGCTACGCCACTGGTCTGAGGTGAGGGTAGCCAATGGTTCTCAAACCTTCAGTGAGTTTGGGAATATCCCCTGCTTGTGAAGACAGGCTCCAGCAGATTGAAAGGACGAGACCAATAGCGGGTCTAATGGTCAAGAAGGAGGTTTCTGCATGTGCTGTAGGGGGAAGTGAGAGGCAGATGGGCCTTGTCAGTCTAAGAGGTTAGCCTATCTAGGAGAATGAAAAATCAGATACCAAACCTCTGTTGCCTTGAGAGATATCTTCAGGAGAAGAAAAGTCTAAGGAGTAAACCCTACACAAATTTGGAGTGGAGTCCCTAAGATGACGTCTTGTACACCTCCCTCCGGCAACTCCTGCAGCCAAGTTGGTGCTAAATATGTTGCTCTGGTTTCCTTTGGACCACATCAGTGAGGCTGAGAGGGGGGTCTGAGCAACCCAGGACCTCCATACACACTGCCCAGGCTTGCACCCTGGGGAGGTCACTTAGGTGTTGCTAATGCAGCGGTTTGACTTCATCCCCAGAGGTCCACTCCATTGTCTCTAGAGACAAATGGATGCCAATAATGACTGAAGCATCTTTGGTTAATGTAAGAGTGTACAGTCTCCTCTCTCTTCCCCCTGCACACTGTTCTGGAGGTTCTTCTGAACCAGTTTTGGGGGTGGGGTAGAAAACAGGCATGCAGGGACATGTGGAAGGCGGAGAGGGCAAAAGCCCCATAGCACTTTCCCTAGTTGAATCCTGCCCCATGTATCCCATCTTGGTTGTCATGCTATAGAATCAAAGAAATAAAACAATCCATTCATACTAATTGATGCCAGAGGTTTTTTTTAATGTTCTTGTAGGGGGCTTGCCCAATCTTAAATTGTCACCACCAGCAACAAAGACAGGGGAACATGTGTCTCTCCAGATATTCCAGGAGTACAATTCTCATCATTCCTGACTATGGGCCATGCTGGCCAAGGCTGATGGGAGCAGGAGTCCTACAACATCTGGAGATTCACAGGTTTCCTCTCCCTGACATAGCATTTCCAGTTACCAAAAACTGGAGGAATATCTAGCGGTCTATTCTCCATCCCAGTTCTCACTCTGTTGCCTGCTCAGGCCTCTGTGGAGACAGGACATGGATCACAACCAGCCATGCTATCCAGCAAAATCCAGGAAGGAGCTGAGTATAATTGGCCGCCTGCCTGCCTTCTTTCCAGAAACATATTAGCCGCTCTTCAACTGAAGCTCTTGGAGAAGCTTACCAAATGTGGAATCATGTACAGTAAAATATACTGAAACAGGAAACAACAGCAATAAAATCCCAGCATAAAATTAATGTAACTAACGTAGAGTTAAAAGACCCAGGCAATCTTAAAACACTATTTGCCTGGTGCTGTTAACAGAGGGGTAGGGGACATTTTTCATCCTGAGGGCCACATTCCCTTATGGAGGCCACATACCAGTTGTGAGAGGAGCCAGTGGCAAAAGTGGGCAGAGCCACAAAGGTAAAGTTTATCTTGGTTACAGTAGGCTAGTTTCTAAACACACACACACACACACACACGAGAGAGAGAGAGAGAGAGAGAGAGAGCGAGCTCTCTATCCTCTATCCAAGAGGCCTAAACCTTCATCAGTTTTTACTGCTCAACCAAATACAGGTTATAGCCCCCCATCATCACAAGGAAACAAACAGGCCTCAAAAACATATGATGACACATATGATCAAATCATTATAATACACAAAGAGGCCTTATCAAAGTTCAAGGAGACATTCAAGCCAGGCAAAAGACACCCAGCGTGGGAAGCAGGACCAGTGAGGGGTGTGGGGAGATTTCCAAAAGCCAGACAAAGAGGCCTTGGTAAGGATTATGGGATGGGGTGGTCACCTCTCCACAGTGAGTCCAGCAGCATCTCTCTGTTCTCTGCTGGTACAGGGCCATTAAAGCGCTACCTCCCTGCCCCCCTTCTTT